GATTGAACTCAGGCCCTTATGCTTGCCAGGCAAGCACTTATTCTACTGAGCCATCTGCCCAGCCCCAGTGCTCCAAATTTTATATAAAATTCCTAGCAATATGATTGTTTTATTTTGGTTATGTTAAAATGTTGTCACAGAAATAACAATAAAAACAACTTTTTCCTACTTGACTAAGAACAAGAGCCAATTATATCCTCAAAATGAGTCACTGCACCCCACTGGAGATTTTATATGTATATATTTATATGTATTACTATTTGTGTTACATAAAAATATATATATTTACTTGTATAAATATATACATGTTTTGTTCTCTTTTTGTGGGTAATTATTTTTTTTTAATTTTTTATTTTTCGCTGAACTGGGGATTGAACTCAGTCCCTTGAGCTTGCCAGAGAAGAGCTTATTCCACTGAACCATCTCCCAGGCCCTTTTGTGGGTAGATTATTTCTCTTCCCTACCGCTAAAAAGGTATTAGCCAGGACTCTATGTTCCCTAAAGGGGGGAATATAAATTTCCAGGCACCCAGAAGATAATTTCCAGAAACATTTTTGGAAATTTAGGCTCATGAGATTGACAAAGGAAAGGGACGCAAGTGAGTACATTAGGGAAAGAAAAATCTGGAGGAAAAAAAAAAAAAAGAAAAAGAAAAATCTGGAGGGAAGTTAGAGAAGGATCAAGATGTCTAAGGTTTGAGGAGGGTAAAGAAGCGGGCAGAATCCACTTGCACATTGCACCCCAAGTGAGACTACCTGGGGAGACCGTACACCTTTTAGAGTAGTCCAACATCCAAGGCTGAGGGCCCAACAGAGGCAGGACTAGCACTCACACCAGTAGTACGGCCTGGCCTTAAGTGAAGCTTTTTGTAGATACTTTGAAATCAGCAAAAACTAGCGGACTATGTTAACAAGCTAAAATGCTTTTTTAATTAAAAGACTTCCTTCACGAACTTAGGATACTTGGTTCTCTGCTTGGGTCATGGCTTTGGGTCTCTGACCTGGCCTTCCCTCTTCTCCAGACTTTCAATCAGCCGCCTTCTGGCCCCCACCGAGCCACCGTTCCTCAAGGCCTCCCTTCAGGCTTCTCTTCTCCACCCCCAGCACCCATCCCGGGTTCAGACTTCCTGTCTTCTAGCTTGGATTCCGGTTTCTACCTCGTCTCCTCCTGCCTCAGACGGCCTTAATTTTCCCTGCTTCCCTTCTCGCGTCCCCCACACCGCTCCTCTCCTCTTTGCTCGCTTAGATGGCGACACTTCGCCCCGACTCCCACTAAGTGACACCCCCCCATTCCCCGCGGTCCAGCCGTTGGAGGGGGCGTGGCCCCCCAGTAACAGGTCTCCCGCCCCACACCCCACGGGCCCGCGCGGAGACAAAGACATTCCATAGCCCCCGCCCCCTCCGCGCTCTGAGCCAGAAGGGGGAGGAGACACGTGTCCCGCTAGCGCCGAGTCACGTGAACGAGAAAACGAACTGAGCCCGCGGCCGCCGGCGCACGCGCACCAAGCTCTCGTCCTCCCTACTCGGAGGGAAAAGAGAAGCGACACAGTAGCGTCTTCTTGCGCCGCGGAGGTGCGCAGGCGCAGTGGCCCAACCGGGGACTTTGTTCTCCGCGGAGAAACCCAAGGGCGGTGCCGGTGACCGGATGCGCATGCGCGTCGCTTCATTTCCGGTGCTCGCTCGCTGGGTCGCCCAGGTCGGCTTCGGTAGCTGTCGCGTTTGCTCTCCCACCCCCGCCAACCGCCGCTAGGGCCTCTGCCGCTGCCGTGTGGCTTCCTCGCTTGTTTGCTCGCCCATCATCGCCGATGCAGCGCCGGGACGACCCTGCCGCGCGCATGACCCGGTCCTCAGGCCGCAGCGGCTCCATGGACCCCTCAGGTGCCCACCCCTCGGTGCGTCAGACGCCTTCCCGGCCGCCGCCGCTGCCTCATCGGTCCCGAGGAGGCGGAGGGGGGCCCCGCGGGGGCGCCCGGGCCTCTCCGGCCACGCAGCCACCACCGTTGCTGCCTCCGTCGGCCACAGGTCCCGACGCGACAGTGGGCGGTCCAGCGCCGACCCCGCTGCTGCCCCCTTCAGCCACAGCCTCGGTCAAGATGGAACCGGAGAACAAGTATCTGCCAGAACTCATGGCCGAGAAGGACTCCCTCGACCCGTCCTTCACTCACGCCATGCAGCTGCTGACGGCAGGTAAGCGGGCCTCCAGGTTCCTCCGGGTCTCCCTGCCACCTGGGCGGTGGGTGGCCGCGGCTTTGTTCCTCTCGTCTCTTGAATCTTGGAGACGCGGGCATCAAAGCTCTTTACCCAGCCTATCTTCGGGATCCGAGGTCCCATAGTCCCACCCCGGCCCAGGATGCGAAGGAGGATTTCTGGGCCGCTGTGGAGGCCCGGACACGACTTGGCGATCTCCTAGCGCGGGGAGCTTGACGGGTAGTGCCGGGCTCCCGCCCCCTTCCCTACCCTGCCCCCGCCCTTCCCCTGCAGCTGCCGGGTGCTCGGAGTGCTCTAAGATCCTTCCAGAAGTGAACCTTTATTTTCCGACTTGCCCTTTGGGGAAAACCTCTTTTGATTGCGGGTGGTGTGAACGACTCAGAGGGTGTAGGCGGTGAAGACGGCCCGAGCTGGAGCGCCCGTAGGAGGGAGGGCCGAGGTGAGGTTGGCTGAGGTTGGAATGCTCTGTCCAGCGCGCCGCGGTCTCCTGGGCCCGGCCAGACTTAGAGGTAACTAGCTTAAGTTGCTTCTCACAGGCAGGAGCGACATGTGGGAATTAGAATTTGAGATTTTCTGAACCCGATTTCCGATTTAGGCGATCAACCAAGAATTGCTAAAGTCAGATGGTTGTTCCCCTTTATTTTATGTTTTCACGTGGTTCAAAAGAGGGGAAATAATCTTAGAGATAGTGAAATAAGAGGATGGAGGGAGATAAGATACTCCAGGGTACTTTGCATGATGTTCCCTACCGATGTGAACAAAAAATGTGTAAGATACATAGTGCTTGTACCTGAAAGTCTCCGTGTTTTTCTTGTTTTAGTTTTTGCTTCAATAGTGAAATAGATTCAGAGTGGTAGCCTTTGTTCTCTGTAGACTAACACTTCTTTCCACTTCTGTACTGCAAGTCATTTAAACACTGATTTCTCAAACTATTTGAATCTCAATTCTAGTTTAAAACATTGTTTTAATAAACATTCCTTATGATGTCTAAATTTTGTTAAGTAAATAAAAATAAATCAGCCTTCAACACTAAGTGAGTTGACTACACTTTTTGGTAAGATTAATAAGGTGAACAGTTTCTTATGGAACTATCATTTCTCTCCCTTGGTTCTTTATCTTCCCCAACAGTTGGGGGGGCTTTGCTTTTTAATCACAGTAATCAAAACACATAATCAAGAAAATTTAGATAAACTCCTTTAAGTTTTCTACTCAGCCCTTTGCTGTCTGGTAACACATTCTGACTATCTGTGGTCTTTGAGGGCAAGGAGTGTGTCTCTACTTTTCATACTGACTAGAAAATAGTAAATATCAGGTGTTTGAATCTGAAAGCGGGAGTGCTCAAGGTTAGCAGTGTCAGACCAAATGGTAAAGTACTTGGGCTTGAAATTTCCTCAGATCTTTTAAGAAATCCGGAGTAAATGTATGAGAATGACTTCACAGCTTTAATATGTGGCCTTGTTTGCATACTGACCCTTAACTAGTTACCTGATCTGAGATTCTGAATTTCAACCTCTTCAGTAAAGTGGTGAATACGGAGGATTAGATAATGTATAAAATAACTAGCACAGTTTCATTTGATGTATAATTAGTAGACAAAAACTTGTCACCATAGTTTTCTTCTAAATGTAAATTTCCGTTGTGAACAAGGCATGAAAAGATAAATTTTTAGGGCCGGGGAGATAGCTCAGTAGAATAAGTGCTTGCCTGGCAAGCACAAGGGCCTGAGTTCAATCACTGGTTCCGCAAAAAAAAAAAAA